AAACTCACAAACCCCCTTCGCATCTGTGACACAGGTGACTTTGGCGCGCCGCAGCTACTCCACTTTCCAGGCAGCACTCTCCAAGGGCTTGTAGATCAGTGGCACCAGCAATACGCCACGCATGCATTGACGCAGCACCATGGCTGTGTCTATGTTCAGATCTGCAGATATGAGGGCCTTGCTCGCAAAAACATGCAGAAACTTGCCATCGTGCCAGGTGAAGTGGTGGCCCTGCCTGTTTTCACTGATGCTGGCAGTGCCTGCACGAGATTAGAGCCCTTCCGGGCTATCGCAGCTATCTGCCACAGGGGTCATAATGTAGCCAGTGGCCACTATCAGGCAATGCTTTGCGTCCCCCGAGCTGAACAATGGATACCCTACATCTGTGATGACAACCGGGCCCCTAAGCCTGCCACTAGGAGGGATATGGACTTTGTAGACCATAACACCTACCTGGTAGGCTTGCTGCGATGCCCGTAACAGCCGCAAGGAGGGGGGAGTAGCAGGAGGCTTCCCCCTCTACCGAAAGTTCCCAATCTCCTGCCGTAGTGCGGTGGCTGGCACACCGAAGAGTTCACCGGCCTTGCTGTCAAAACAGGGTGCCTGAGTGTCTCTTCCAGCCTCTGCCGCAACCGAAGCCCGGTCCTCCTTAGTATTACATTCCTACTGCTGCTGAGTGTGCACCAATGCCGGCACAAGCCCATGTCATGCCGCAGCTCGTATTGCTGAGTACGATGTGGCTCGAGTGCAGGCAGAAGCCTAGGTCGGTTTCTGCCGCTGCTGTGTTGGGTAGCACAGCACATTGTGCTCGAGCCTCAGGCACTTGCTTCGCTATAGACGTCTGCTTCATTCGTTTGAGCCGAGTGCTGCTCAGCCGTGTGTCCTCCACCAGCTCCCTCTCCGGCTCATCTAGGTCGGTGTGCCGGTTCTAGGCTAGGTGCCTAGACAGCAAGGCTCCGATCCCCCATGGCGCAGAGGATTGATCTGCCGCGACATGTGCAGTATGCTGCTCTTGAGGAAATGCTGTTACTACAGGCACTTGTCAATCTTGTGGGGGATGACCAACGGCTGAAATCGAGCTCCTCGCTCTACACCCGCAATGAGATCGTCTATGCGGCGTTGCGGCTGCTTCCTGAGCCTCAGCGTGATGAATTCCTGAACTATGCGGATCGGCTGACCAGCAGCATTGTGACCGATATCCTGGTCAGCTTCCCCATGCCTATCTCTGAGCCAGTTGGAGATTCCAGTCGCGCCGAGCGCCTGGCCTACGACTTTTTGATGGAGGGCAGGGGTTCGCTCTGGTCTGCGGCCCGCGAAGTTGCTCGGGATTTAACCTTTGTCACGGACAAGCG